CTCAAAGACCTGGAGGGCGGCCTGCGCCCCCCGCCACGGTCGCTACCTGACGGTGGCCGCCATCTTCCGGGGCCGCATGTCCATGAAGGAGGTGGACGAGCAGATGCTCAACGTGCAGAACAAGAACAGCAGCTACTTTGTGGAGTGGATCCCCAACAACGTGAAGACGGCCGTCTGCGACATCCCCCCGCGCGGCCTCAAGATGTCCGCCACCTTCATTGGCAACAGCACGGCTATCCAGGAGCTCTTCAAGAGGATCTCGGAGCAGTTCACGGCCATGTTCCGGCGCAAGGCTTTCTTGCACTGGTACACCGGCGAGGGCATGGATGAAATGGAGTTCACGGAGGCCGAGAGCAACATGAATGACCTGGTCTCTGAATACCAGCAATACCAGGATGCCACTGCTGATGAGCAGGGGGAATTTGAAGAGGAAGGAGAGGAGGATGAGGCTTAAGTCCCCTGGTATCAAAGGAACTTCTCTAAAGCAGGCATGTGTACTGAATGACTTCTGATAGTGGTGGTGAAGCATGTTCTCTAGAAACTGTGTACCCAATTATCCTCTCAGCACTTGTAACTTTGACAGATTTCTCAATGTAACACTTCTGAATCCCAGTTATTACAATGTTTTTGTCCTTTAACCTTAAGAGCACATAAAGGCATGTATTCTAGATCGTGTTTTCTGTCTTTCTTAACACCCCTATTGGACACAGAACAGCTATTTGGCCCGTGTGGCAAGAAGTAATTTAAAGACATGTCAGAAATCTTGCAGCACAGTGGTGTGCTCTGATCCACTGAGGCTTACATATTCTCAAAATGTATGCTTCTCATGCAAATATCTTTCGTCTTTTTTGCTACAGGACTCAAACCTACCTGCAACTTGAATGAAAGTGGAAAGCCAACTAAAATTCCTAAACAAGGCAAGGACAACCACCTCTAACTTGTTTTACAGTTTAAGTCAGCGTAGGAAATCTTCCACTTCTCTGTTGAAGTCCTCTGCAAAACGCAGGTGTAGATTATGCTTTCCTTCCGGCATCAGAAGCAACCTTAAAAGAGGAAAAAATCAAACACTGCATATACATTATATTTTGTGAGTACAGGTAACTAAAACATTTGTTGCCTTTTCCTTGCTCTTGGTTACCCAAGTACAGAACTGAAGTAACTCTTGTTTTAAGTACTATCCCTATGTACATTGTTTAGAATGTGAACCGCAGCAACAGTTGAAGCAACAAGCATACTACTTGTCCCACTTTGGGGAGGATAAACTGAGCTTAAAATGAATTTTTGTGTCCTAGACCCAGTTTCTAGGTACTGGTGGTCTGCAAAGAAGATAACATTCCAAAACTTGCGTGAGCAGGATGCATCTTCGAAAGGTATGCAAAGTACCTGAGCTCTTTTGCCTCTTTCAGAGAACAGCAGTTGTGCTGGGCAGTGAACACATTGAAGAGATCACTAAAGAAATGTAGATTTCTTGTCACCACCCAAACTTAGCATTTGAACTTTGTCTAATCTTTCAGCAAAATGACAATCCAGAACTAACACCATTCATTCATCCATTAAAGTAGAAAGGGAAGTCAGGACTTCTTCAGCTATAACAAAAGCTTAGAAGTAGTATGCGTGAAGAAAGCTAAATCTTTGTAATACAGTTATGAGTGTGACAAGCCTAAAATACTACTTGCCATTGCTTTCTATCTGGGAAAAACTTTATACATCAGGTATGTACTTCTAACACTTCTTTTCTTTTTAGACGGGGCTGGGAAATTCTTTAGATTATTTTATCCTACTACATATTAAGCAGTTTCAACAGAGCTAAAGTGAGCTCGACTGATACTTTGCTATGTTGCCTTCATGTCATCTAAGCCCCACTACGGCGAGGGCAATCCTTCTTCTTTTGGCGGTGACAAGTACTCTTTTGTCTTGGGGAAAAGAGCAATAGCGTGTGAACGTACCCAGCTCTTCTACTACTTCTCTCTGAATTTCATTAAGTCTGTTTCTTCAAAGACCAAGCAGCACACAGATGCACAAACCTATAGCACTGTGTATGCTATTAGCTACTGCTGTTAGACCACTGTAATGCTACGTGACTCTAGCCATACCATGCAAATACAGAATGATGGTGCACTCTTTTATCCCGAGAGAAACAAGCAATGTATCTGCACTACAGTCAGCAAAAGCTTTTTCTACTTTACTACTGGGTAAAAATCAAGGCAAGAAAAGCTGACGGTAGAAGCATGTGTTACTGAAAATATGCTAAATTTAAGGTTTTCCTTCTGCTTCACAATGGAACATGTCATCTCCAGTGCAACAAGGGAAGAAAGGGACCATGTACCTCAGTATTAATTTCTGAGAACACCATTAGTCTGATTTCTTTTCTGATAAATACACATATGGGGGAGCACTTCAGCATGAAGACATGCAAAGAACAACTTTACATTTTGTTGGATAGCAACTGCTAACACTGTTTCCTCCTTGGCTTGCCTTCCAAAGAGAAGCTATCAGATCCTTGTCGAGTTTTTGTGATGACTTGCCTTAGCATCTGGAGCTTTTCAGGGCTCAGTGAAACCTAACAGGATGATAGGTGTTCTGAGCAAGGCATGTGGGAGTAACTAACTAGCAGACATGGAATAAAATTCCATGTGATTGTTAGGAAGGTCTCTTCTCATCTTTCCTGTGGCATAATGCATTTCTATGAACAGCGGGGCTGACTTTCAGGTAAATATATCACTCAATTTTTCACAGAGATGACACCAATGAAACTTTTTTTTCTGCCTTCATAAAAATGGGGTTTGTTCTCCTAATTCTTTTCTCCAGTGTTAATCATCACAGTCTGTTATTAAGTAGTAATGGAACTCTTCAATTTGTGTGCAAATCTATGAAGAAAATTCAGCTGGTGAAATCCCATTTTCTTTATAGGAAGCATTTCTGGAGTTTTCAAATGAAGCAGATAGCACCTGAAGATTTTTCTTGTTTATAAAGTAATACCTCTGAGCATAGTTGTACATTTTTTTCTTATTCAGGTTTTCTTAAAACCACTGAAAATTCATGGGACAGTTGGAAAAACAAAATCTTTGAGGAGGTTGTTCACATCAACAAGGCAGAGCAAACATCAGTATCTGTGCTTCTCTAAGAACTGGGAATCTCCCTCCATTCATAGCATATAAATTCACTGCTCTACTGAATGGGACAGAAATGAGGTCTTTCACAGCAAAAGGAATGCAATGGCCATAACAGAGAAACAGAGGAGAAATTTGCTTGTTTCGATAAATGTTAGGGAGTGGTTCTGTGTGTGAAGTAGAAAGAGGAAAAAGACCTTACTTGGTTTGTCTTGGAGGACTTTAGGAAGGAGCTTATGAAAATATTATGCTTTTTGTATTGCAAGAAAGGTCCAGCTACACTGTTTGCGTTGTAACTTGCTAGGGAAGTTTAGAACAGCTCTGTCTGTGGCAGAGACAACTTATTCCAATACTTTATTTTTTTTTTACACTGGGTCTGAACTGCTTCATTTTTTCAATAACGGTTTGTAAATACTCCATCATATAACTTACCGAGAGCCTTTGATGTGCTTATGAATGTATTCTGCGTGAGCTTGTGGAACCAAAGGGTCTTTCTCACCATGAATTATAAATGTGGGACATTTAATATCTGGCAGCAACTGCTGACAGATACTACCTAGGGAAAAAATAAATGAAGGTCACACTTCATTTTAGAATAGTATGAAAGACGGAAACTGCTTCTGTAAAGGACTGTGAACTCCGCTGTGTTCTAGCTATTGCCTCTCCTTGTAGAGAGGGTGCAACTAATCTACAGAAATATGTAATCAGGACTTTAACTAACATTTCTTTCTCCAAAATGTTACTTCACTGAAATTTGCTTCATTAATGGATCGTAGCACAAACAGACAGAGCAAATGAAGTACTTCTGTCCCACATTTCCCCAGGTTCTCTTTGACTGTTCAAAGCAAACACATGCATCTCTTTCCTGGCTTCGTTCTTTTCAGCCTTAGAGTCTTACGTTCTTCATGTTTATGCTACATTTTGTTACATCAGTTGTCAGATTACAAGATTTGCTACTTTCATCAACAAGTTAACTTAGGTTGTACTCATGCCTGTTGGCCTTCCTGACCCTTTGCTGTCTGAAATGAATAACCATTTAATACAAATTGTACTAAACTATTCAAAGGTTATTCTCCCTGCCCATTGGTCTTACAGAACCTCAAGAATAATTTTATGCTTACTAGTCTTTAATCTCACTAGAAGTAATTTGAATGCTTTTCCTTAAAGACTCTTCTATTTCCTCTCTCCCTTTCTTTTTTCCTCATCCCTTAATAACCCAGTTTCCAAACTCTTTGCCTAACTTCCCATGCTGTTGCAAGAGATTGTGTGGGCAAAACATACTTGTTGAGTTTTATGTTCCGCTTATCTTTGAGCTAACTTTGTCCTATTTGTAGTTGCCTCCTTGCAGCTACCAACAGCTGTACCAGTTAATGCTCATACCTTAGCTCTGAAGTCATACACTGTTTCATAGAGTTTTTCCAATTGTTCAGTTATTTATATAGTCTTAGTTTGCAGTTCTACCAGTTAAATATTTTCGTTTAGAACATTTCACCCATCTTCCTTAAACACCTGCACAAATGTTGACTGTTTTTCAGAACAAGTAACAAGTAAATTGAAGTTATTTACCTAAGGACATAGTCGGCAGTCAAACCAGTCAGACCTAGTTTCCAGGTCCTAAAACTGTTCTGTGCTATAACCACTAGATTATATTTACTCCAATAACACAGAACAGCAAGAAGAATCTTGAATTTTGCAGCTTTATGCAGCTTACTCGGTTTGATTAAGTGTTGGTACCTTCTGAAAATCCATTTCTTACAGCTTTTCACACTAAAAGCTGTCCCATTTAGGGCAAATAACCTTATTTCTTAAAAAGAGCTTGAGTTGTTTTTGACCAACAGAGGTTTTGCTGTCCTCCTTTTATCTCTGATGGGTTTTATTAACCCCTTTTCTTGTATTTGCCATTAATAACCTTTTGTGTGGTCTGTTTAATTCAAAGGAGGCCTGCTTGTGTTCGGAGTTGCCCTCCCTGAGCTACTCCTGGAAAAAGATTGCAGTCTGATGGTTGCTCATCTTTTTTAGCAAACGTTAGGCTTCTCCCAGTATCTGACCCGGTTACAGCATCTAGGTAATTCAGCTCCTTGTTACATGTCTCCAGGTGGCTTCTTTTTCACAGTCACTCCATCTCACAGTGTTTGAGGCATGTGCATGCAGTAAAATGATGTCACAGCCAGACCAACCTAGGCTTTGGACTTAAGAATAAGATAGTTTTAAGGAGATGCATTCTAGAAAGGGTAAAGTAAAATCAGATCATAATTTGTTGCATCTCTCTACTGGGAGAAATTCTAGTACCGCGTTGATGATCCTGTGCAAAACTTTATGGAAAAAACACAAAATGAAGGATTATTTTCCTTGTAGTACCTGCTGCCTATTAATGTATGGCACCTCCTGTCTTTCATCATGAGAGCTACAGGAAAACATATATAAAAGAACTATAGATTCCTTGTTTTATGTACTATGTATTTCTGCTTTAGGCAAATTAAAAGCAATTTTCCTCTGAATTAAAACAGAACTGCAGGTTATTATTAATTATATCCTTCGTTGCCAAAGTCTATGTAG